CTAATATATATTTAAATTTTAATAACTTTATTAACCATTGTATTAAACATGGATATCCTGCTAATTTTCTTTACAATTATATTTCTGATAGTTCTCAGTGAAATGACAATATGTAATAATAATAACGATTTTTAACTCGTCATACAGTTAATTGAAAGATGGTGCCACATGTTTTATAAATTAATAATACTATATTTTATTTAAATATCTTTGAGTATGTTTGGGAAGTCATTTTATTTTCTTTAAATTTTATATCAATATTTAAGGTTTTTAAATGTATATACAGTAGAAGTCCGATAATCCGGCACGTTCGGGACCGGCTCGGTGCCGGACTACCGAAAATTCCGGTCTATCGGGTGGTAATTATAAGAACAATTAGGTTAATAATTAAACTACAAATACAGTATGCAAATACACAGAACAACTTGACTTCTGGCGTTTAGTATAAAATTTATTTTTAATGATATGGAAATCAATAATTTCTGAAGCACTGTAGCTAGTACTAGCCTCAGCAAAAGAGATAAACTTATTTAGTGATTCTGCAGCTTCTGCCCAGCTGATTTTTTCCTTTTCTTCCGTTTCGGCATCTGAGTCACTTTTTTCAAGATTTTGAGTAGGCTGAGGGTTTACTACAATGTTGATAATGTCCTCATCGGTTAGTTCTTGTTCAACAGGCTCATTCTTGTCGATTAGAAGCCACTCCTTTACCTCATCTTCAGGCAGGTTTTTCAAGGGATTGTCAGCACTTCTCTAACGACATCCAAAACTTTGGCCAGAGCGTCTTGATGGTCTTCTTCCTCATCAGTCTGTAGAGTTAGGTCAGATGCAGGGTTTGCAGCTGGCCAAAGTTTTCTCCAGCATTTTTGGAGTGTTGTATTTTTACCTGGTTCCAAGACAGTGCAATAGCATAGACGGCATCTTTTACTGTAAACTTTTTTTGAAAATCAGTCGCGTCACAGTCGGCATTTAACAGGCCTTGAATAAAAGACCTTCATTAAAAGCATTTAAAATTTTGAATAACCCCTTGGTCCATGGGTTAAATCAAAGATGTTACGTTAGGTGGGAGCAGAGTAGCAACAATATTTCCAGAAACTAACTCATCTACTGGCGGGTGGGCTTTGCAATTGTCCAAAAGAAGGATGGCTTTAGTATCTTCTGGTAGAACAAAGCTTTTGAAGGATTCCTTGACCTCAGGCACAAAGTGGTGAAAAAACCAGTCTTTAAAGAGGGCGGCAGTCATCCACACATTTGATTGACAGGCAAGTGTGTAACATTCTTAAAAGCCCTGGGCTTTGCTGATTTACCTATCACACTTGGTGGTTTCCAGACGCATTAGCACATAGCAAAACGGTTAATCTGTCTTTGTTTTTTTTAAACCCCTTGGCTGCTTTTTCGCCTACCCCAGCTAGTGTAGATGTTGGTAAACATGGCCACAATACTAGCCCTGTTTCATCAGCATTGTAAATCTGTTCAGGTGTTAAATCATTATCAGCCACGATTTTCTCAAACTCGTCTTTGTATTTTTCTGCAGAGTTTTGGTTTGCTGAAAGTGTTTCTCCAGTTACATCAAGTCTTCGAATTCCATGCCAAAACTTAAAGTTTCTGAGCCAACCATCAGAATAATTACATTCACTTTCAGCAACTCCTAAATCTTGGCCGGATTTCTTTGCCTTTTCAACAATCATTGGCCCTGTTACCAGCTTTCCTTCAGAACGTACTGCACTAAGCCATTTAAACAATACACTATCTACCTGTTCCAGTTTTGGTTTTTTTAATGTTTGTCTAGAAGCCAATTTTTCAGTTGTTACCGATTGAGAAGCAAACTTCATTAGTTCATCTTTTTGTTTTTTAATGTCATAAATAGTTGATGAGCCAATATTAAACTCATTCATTAAAACATTTCTATTCTCGTCTTTTTCTAGCCGTTTGATGATTTCTAGTTTCTGATTGAGAGTCAGTGTTACGTGTTTTCGTTTCTCTCCTTTTGAACTCGAAGGTTTAGGTTTTGAAAACATGATCACTGTACAGTTAGAACGAAAATCACTTTTTTTTATAAACAGTTTCAAAAGTTACGTTTACTGTGATGTGAAAGGACACAAAACAACAACGCACAAAAAAATGGCGAAGACGCTTCGTGATTGATTAACAGAGCTGCACTGCACCTGAATTTGTTGTGACAGCTGAGACTAGCCGGCCGCTAATTGTTTCCGAACAATACCGAGCGCTTCCGGATGATCCCGAACTACCCCGAAAACTTCCGAATAGCTCTCGAGCGTTTTTATTTGCTTTACAGACACACTTTTGGAGAAAACCAAAATTTTTACAATTTTCCGGAGCGATGCCGGACTATCGGGCATTCCGGACTGTTGGATGCCGGACTAATGGACTTCTACTGTACTATTTTATCATAATTTACTAATTTTAATTTTGATGCGGTAATACTATATTTCTTTGTATCTGGCGGGAAACATAATTTGTTGCTGTACTCACGAAGTAAGTTTTATTGCATCGATTTTCACTATACAAGTAATTAATAGTAGGCTATAATTTTATCGTTATATATTAATAGTATTATGCATTTTATTTGTAATATTTAAGCTTCTCTTAATATTCTTTAATTTCCCTATGACCCAGACTATAGGCAAATTACAGGTGAAGATTGGCTAGTCACAAAACTTTGTTTAAACCTGCAAACTTGGTTCCTAAGGCCAGGAGTTTGCTATTGTACTACCGTGGCTATAATATTTCTTACTATTTTGAAACTAGTTAGTTTTTATAACCATTTGTACATATATATATGTGTGTGTGCGTGGTTGTTAATATAAAATACCGTTTCTATAAACAAGTGGGAAGTATTTAAAGAGTAAGAAATCGAGAAATAATATGAAACAAAATAAAACTAATATATATATTAACATTCATTATACGTTACTAAAACTTTGAAAACGTTTATATGAATAAATCTATAAATCTCTTTTAAATTTTGAAATTGATACCTTCTTTTTTAATCTGCACTACACGGGAGTCCGGCCCCCCTCCCAAAGCCCTTGATTTTTTTTGATTGATTATAATTCTATGTATATAGTACATAAAAATTAATCAAGTATTTGTTTTTAATAATTAATTTTATTAATTAATGCTAATTATGCATTTATTAATTATTTTTTTAATGTTTTTGTTCCTGAAAATCGACACTAAAAGAATACGTTGGGCTGCGTATTGAAGCATGGTACGAGAACAGTAGACTTTCAACCTTGCCTTCCCCCCCCCCATTGAAAAATTCCCTTGTGCGCTACTGACGGGAGTAACTGGGGGAGGGGGAGGACACGAATTGTATGTAGAAGGTATGTCAGCTACTACATAAAGAAAATAACAAAAACATTCTCAAAACAAAAAATTATTTTCAGTAGAATTTTTCTAAAAGCTATTGCATATGTGTGTTTCAAACAAATAGAGTATATCTTTTAAGAACCCTATATTTCTCTCTGTTGTAAACAGTGACAAATTTCTACCGAGATTTCCAGAAATTGTATCTCGTTTATGGATTGTATCATACAGTCCACAAAAATATTCAAGAAAATTTTATTGTATAAATGTAAAAGTGGTTACAATCGATTACACAGGAAGATTTCTGCAGTATATCTGTCAGAAATCTTCCTATACAGACAATTGTAATGGTGTGGTTCACTAAACCTTAGTGACACCCCTTTTGGAAAATGCGAAGAATTTCTCGTCAAAAGAGAGAGATCCGAAACTATTTATATTTTTCCAAGGGGGTTTTTGTTTACAATGGAGATTCTACTACCGCGTACTTCTCCCCCTTTTCCTTTAATGTACTGTAGTTCCATAGATGTTATTTTTAAAAAATAAGTGAAAAATTTCAAGTCAACAATTTTTTTAATAAAAAATATTTGAGCTAAAAAACTTTTTTAACATAGCAATTATCATTCTATTAAAAGACAATGAAAAAGGAAAGTGAAGAAATTGTCAAAAGTGAATATATTTTTTGTGACAAAATATTTGAAAGGAAACCGAGAAAAAGTTTTTGGTGCCTCATCATCATAATATGAGAAGGGGAGGAGTCTGGGGAAGGGGGAGCTTTCCCTTTTTTTCTTTCCTTACCCCTCCATTGGCTGAATGGGGTCAATCGTCAATGGTAGAGTCTCCACGAAGCAGTCAATGATTTTTATTTATGAACAGTGTCTTAGAAGTAAGATATTCTTTTTGATATTTTCAGATACATAAAAAAGAATTTATTCACACAAGATCGAGAAAATGACTAATAATCATTCAATTTAACGTAAAAATTAAATTCATATTTGATTTTTGGATAGAAGAAAGTACTCTTGTCTTGATTTTAAATGCTCTAACGCATATATTGTAAAAAAATTTATTTCATTTATATTAAAGTGCTTTAACATTTTGGTTCAGATGATTTTAATTCCATTTCGTAAGAGACATTTTATTTATTTTAGTGATTCACTACATTGGGCGTATGAAGGAAATTTAACATCATTAATGTTTAGGGAAGTACGTTTTAGCAAAATTGGATTCATAAACAAATTCATTTTCTTTCATATTTTGAGTCTTAGATTGCATTTATCTTTAAAATAATTTAAGGTTTTTTTTTTTTTTTTTTTTTTTTTTTTTTTTTTTTTTTTTGGAATTGGCAGTATTTTTGTCAAAAAGGATAATATAACACAAGTTTTATTTTTTAAAAAATTAAACTCAATTCCTACTTAGATCAACAAAAGAAAAATTTTATTTTAGTTACTTTTTATTAAATAGTTACAATTAAAATAAATATGTACATACATATGATAGAATCACAATATTAAATGACAAAATAACGACAAATTTCCTTGAAATTTTCCCTTTTCCTTTCTATGCATGGTGTTAGACTATTATTTTTGTTTGTGCCACTATTTATTCATTAATTAAATTTAATTATTCCAATAAAACAGTATGGTAAAACGGGATCACATCATCAGAAATTAGGCCATCCCAAGTGGGATTCAAACCCATGAACTTTGCATTATTAGTCCAACGCACTATCCATTACGCTATTGGGACACAACGAGTAAATTTCCTTTTTATATATGGTGTTGGACTAATATTTTTGTTACTATTTATTCGTTTTCCAATTCAATTAAGGAATTAATATTTGAAAAATCTATATTAACATCAAGTGCCATTCATTACAAGTTTTAAAAAATGTATTTGAGCTTGAATGGATGAATAAAAATTATTTATTAACGATTGAAAATTTAAACAATATATATATGCTAGCTGTTACCCGCCCACTTCGCTGGGTATTTCATGATGTTTTATAAATTTTTACTGCTTATATATATGTATAAATTATTGATATCTAAGTCCTAGCATTAAGAATTCGATTGAATTGAAAAATATACTTATACCTGTAACTGTCACCTTTTGATAAAAAAAAAGAGCAGAACTCCTCTAATTTGTATTTTCTAAAAATCTCTAAAATTGAAGCATAGAATGATGTTTGCTCTTTCGTAACTCAAAAACCAAGTGGATTCCCGCAAAACCAATTTTCGGTGGATCTCTACTCCGTAAATTGAACATGCAAGCCAAATTTCAAGTCTAAATCTAACAGAAAAAAGCAAAAGTTTTACTATAAATATCCCCGTAATCCCGTTGAGAGTCGTTTTCCAAAATTACCGCTCTTAGCGGATTTCAATTCAACAAAAGAAAAATGCAAACCAAATTTCATTATTATAGTCCTTGTAGCTCGAAAAAAGTAATTTTTTTTGTCAATACGTCCCAGTAACCCCCTGCAACCCCCCAGAACTTGATTTGCTTAAAATTTATTCTTAGTGGATCCCTATTCAACAAAAAAAACATGCTTAAAAAATTTCAAGTATATGGGTCTAACAATTAAAAACAGGAATTTTTTTCTGTAACTCCTCTTGACCCCTCGCAAACATCTTTGGGGGTCAATTTTCATTTTACTCTTTGTTAGAGGAACTCTATTTCATGAAAGGAACATGCCTACCAATTTTCAAGCAGGATGATCAAGTAGTTTAAGAATGGAAATATTTATCGATTGAGCCTCTTAATCTCCCGAAATTAAACTTCGTAGTTGATATTCGCGAAACCCATTTTGTAGCGGTTCTCTGCTTTACGAAAGGAATCTGCTTATCAAATTTCAAGACTGTACGTCTAACAGTTTAAAAATGGGGATAATTGTCTATAACGCCACTTGAGCCCCCGCAACGCCACTTCTGGGTCTGTTTTCACAAAACCCATTTTGTAGGGGAATTGCACTCTATGAAAGGAATCTGCTTATCAAAATTTGAAGACTGTGCGTCCAATTAATTAAAAATGCAAAAAAATTATCAATAACGCCCCTTGAACCCCGCAACACCACCTAGGGGTCGATTTTCACAAAACACATTTTGCAGTGTATTTCTATCCTATGAGAGGAATCTGCTAACCAAATTTCAAGACTGTGAGTCTAATAGTTTAAAAAAAGAAATAATTATTTATATCTGCCCTTAACCCCCTGCAACACCCCTTGGGGTCAATTTTCTACAAACCCGTTTTGTAGCGGATATTTACTCCATGAAAGAAACATTCCTACCAATTTTCAAGCAGGTAGGTCAAATAGTTTAAAAACGAAAATATTTATCTCTTACGCCACTTATTCTCTGCAACGCCACTTAGAGGTCTGTTTTCACAAAACCTTCTTATAGCTGATCTCTACTCTATGAAAGAAATCTCTTTATCAAATGTAAAGACTGTGCGTCTAATAGTTTAAAAATGGAAATAATTATCTATAACGCCCTTTAAGTCCCCTCAACGCCACTTGGGGGCAATTTTCACGAAACCCATTTTTAGCGTATCTCTACCCTATGAGAGGAATCTGCTTACTGAGTTTCAAGACTGTACGTCTAATAACTTAAAAATAGGAATTTATAACGCCCCTTAAACCCCCCGCCCCCGCAACACCCCTTGGGGTCAATTTTCCCAAAACCCATTTTGTAGCGGATATTTACTCCAGGAAAGAAACTTACCTACCAATTTTCAAGCAGGTAGGTGAAGTAGTTTAAAAACGGATATATTTATCTATTACGCCCCTTAATCCCCCGCAACGGCACTTAGAAGTCTGTTTTCACAAAACCCGTTTTGTAACTGATCATTATTCTACGAAAGGAATCTATATATCAAATTTAAAGACAGTGCGTCAAATAGTTTAAAAATGGAAATAATTATCTATAACGCCCCCTAAGCCCCTGCAACGCCACTTGGGGGTCGATTTTCAGCAAACTCATTTTGTAGCGGATCTCTACTCTCTGAAATGAATCCGCTTACCCAATTTCAAGATTGTACATCAAGTAGTTTAAACATGGAAACAATTATTATTAAAGCCCTTAACCCCCCGTAACGCCCCTTGCGTTTCGAATTTCGGAAAATCCTTTCTTAGCTGATGTCTACTCTATCAAAGGAACATGTCTACCAAATTTCAAGTCTGTAGGTTGAACAGTTCCAGAGATCTCGTGATTAGTCAGTCAGTCAGTCAGTCAGTCAGTCAGTGAGTGAGTCGCTTTTCTCCTTTATATATATAGATATATGAGTAAGCGAGTGAATATTAATGTTGCACTGTTTAGCAACACGAGGGCTTTTGGCGACGGACCTCGTAATTTTGAACCATGGTCAAGTGACGCGGACGACGCCTGAGCTGACGCCACCTCTCCTAACTTCCACTCTACACCACTGCGAGGACGTTTGAGCTTGGACAGATTTAACGTACATCGCTCCCCTACACGGTGGGTCATTAGTGGTACTGGGATCGAACTCATGACACGCTAGCATGATCTGATGCCTAGACCACTTGGCAACCGCGGCCACTACACATATATATATATATATATATATGTAAGGAGAGTATGAAGTAATAGTAGGGTTTGAAAAAAGCACCTGACGTCTCTGCGATTGAAATTTGAATTATGTTATTCATTCTTCTTCTTAACAGTTTCTATTTGTCGAATATTTACAAGTATCGATTACATCACGAAAGCGCTAATGGAAAAAAAACTGCTCCTGGCAACCTTGAGTGTGTGCTATTAATACGTGATCAAAATAATTGTTCTAATTTTTAAAACTTTATCGAGGTATCAGAACCTACTCTCCAAAAATAGACTATTTTATTGGAATAATTAGATTTTCAAAAGAAATTAATGCTGTACTGATAGTAAATAGAAATACAAATAATAATACAAATAAGTAGGATAAAAACACAGATTTCATACGAGTCTGAGAAGAGTGCGATCGAAAATATGTTTAAAGAAAAGCTGAAAAAATTCTCCACTGTTTTTCATGAATGCCATTTAGAAATTAGTAGAGATGCGTGATTCGAAGAGTAGCAGAAATTGCGTGAAATCTCGCACTATGAAGCAACACGAGGGTTATTAGTGACAGACCTCGTAGTTTTGAACTTCGGTCATGAGAAAGGGACGATACCTAAGCTGGCATCCTAACTTCCCCACCACACCAACGAGAGGGCTTTGAGCCTCGACAGATTTAACACCCAACAGCCCCTCTACATTGAGGGTCATCATTTATACCAGGATTCGAACCCGAGACACTCCGGCCACGATTGCTAGGCCATAACTACTTGGCTATCGCGGCCGAAACAAACACAACAGCGATATGAATGATCGCTAATAAAATTGATAAAGTAGCTGCGTGCTTTCAACGCTGCTGTCTGTAAGAGATGTCTTTTTAAAGTTTATTTTTTGTGCAAATATTGATCAATTCCACTTTTAAAAAAATGACCCTATTTCTGCTAAACTACCAACATTTCACGAAGGACAGTATAATAAGTATATGTATATATATAAGTTCAAACAGGAATTGAAACAAATATAAGGTCGGTTCGAAGCAAAAAATATAAGCAAAAAACGCAAGAGATTAAAAGATTTTTCAACGAAGGGGGGGGGGGAGGCGTCAAATTCTTTCTTCTTTGGATCGGTCATCTCTTCGATTTGGATGAAAATGGTAAAGAATTTGTTTCTCAAGCAGGAGAGTACAGAGAACTCTTAAGTTTTTTTGTTGACAATGTTGCAATTTCTTTCAGGGCGGCACTTCAATTGATTCACCCAATGCTTCTTTAATACTTTGATTATACCCCCTTGCACTCAATTCCCTACCCATTTATTACATAATTAAATTTTATGAAACATAAAGTAAACCTTCATTTATTCTCCAAGCTAGCGTAAAATCTGCATATCAAAAGATGCGTATCCCACAATAAAATTCGCCGCAAAAACTTTCAGAATTTTTCATAATCCAAATGAAAAGACGTTTCATGGAAGATACCGTTTAGTATCATGAATTCAGTTCTTGTTTCAGCGTTTGAATCGGCATACAATTAAATTCGTTTAAAGATTGTTTTTAAAAAGGGAGGCCGAAGCACTAATCCACTGAGTGAGTGACCCGCTTTTACCAAAGGAAAGTTCTTTGCACGTAGGGAAGGGGGTTGGTTGCCCACCGAAACAATGACGGTCACCCTTCTCCCGAAAATCGATATATGGAGGCCCCAAAGGGTTAGAAGCATCTCCTCCCCCTCCCTTACTCTAACGAGTGCAAACCCTCTTTTCCCCTCACAAAAAAAAATTTTTTTTTTGGAAGCACATGTCATAGAAAGAACTAAACTGCAATATCTGAATAGAGTTAAAAAAAAAAAAAAGGAGCCCACAACTTATTTGTATCGAATACTCACGTTTAATTCGGGAAGACAACATGCTTGGTTAAGAGGGGAGATTTAGACTCATTCGTTTTGTTATTAGAAAAGGAAACAATATTCATAGCTACAATAATGGATTTAAACATAATGCTAAAAACAATTGAATGAATTCATTAAATACTTCGAGGATTTTCGATGCGTGCTACATACAGTCTTTATTTCCCATCACATTACATAATAATGTACTCGTGTAACAATAATTTAAGTTCAATACAATAAGTAAATGAATTATCTTGAAATAATTCAAGCATTAGATTTTCCTTCTCTCACAAGCAATTATTTTTGTTTTAAGATTCAC